CAACAGGTTTACTTGCCTCCAAAACACTCAAAAAACACTTTAATTTTCTCATATTATACATTGCAGCATCACCTCATTTCTCAAAGAGTCTGAAAATGGTTCGTTCAAAATCAAATCCCTCCTTTCCATTGGTCAGACGTCTTCTCTACATAAACAACATGAACCAAACTCTTCCAGGCCTCTACTGTGTTTGAGGGTGGGTCAAAGTAGACGTTGTGTCATTAGGCTGGCATTATGCAAATGTATTATATTGTCACGTCGAACTGTATGTTCCTGTAAGAGCTAAACATCCTCATACGTCCCTGAAAACCAACTCCAACATGGGCAGGCCTCATAAATTAAAGACAACACAACCTCCAGTTACACAAGCAGACATCTACACCCAGATACCTGCCTCATTATCTACCCACAGCCCTTTGTTGAAGACTCCAGCAGCGAACAGAACTTAGTGCACCATACTGTAGTTCTCAGCATTTGCCCTTAAGAGGAGAAGTCTGCTGCATATTTCCTGTAAAGGGGTGTTCTGCAATGTCTTTTGAATGCCTTGCCCTGTATAAACTTGCCTTGACTTGCCTATTAACGCTCAAGGTATGAGGGTTGTCTTTTGAGCTCTAGATCTGGAAAGATCTGGAATGTTCTAATGCAGATAAAGCCTCCTTTCATTGAAGTGCCACAGTTCTACATGCTTTACAAGAGAAGATTTGAGCGCTGAGTGAAAAAATATGCTTGAAAAACAGGGAAGAGTGAGTCATTTCAGGAGAACAACACATTTAGAGAAGTATACATAAACGCCTTGCCTTCACACTCCTGCCCACGTATGGTACCATCACTCATGCACTACCCAAAATGATTGTAGGGCAAACACGTCATGCAGGTTTACGTTCAAACATGCTCACTGCTCACAACATTAACTTGAAATAGCACGAGATTGGAATTCTTAACACCCACAATTGGCTCCTTCATGACAATATTGCTCTCAAAAGCATAACTTTGACAGATATTATTCGATTTTTATTTATCATTATTTTATCTTCAGACAGTAATGAATAGAGTCACTGATAAGGGTGTTGTTGCGCAGCGACAGGGTGCCTGCAGCCCTTTCAGTCATGACTATATTTTTTATAGGCCTATTAAAGTCAGCATGAAATGAAAATTCACAATATCTATTTTGTAATAATCTTAAAGTAAATAAATTTTTTAATAACTTAATCGTCATGGATGCTGCACTTCACATACAGCCCTCTAATCATTTTGTTTTTCTTAAACACGCTCCTTTCTTACAACTAACTGCAAGCTGATAGGACCAAGTCCCTGCCTACATTTTCTTCTTTTTCGATAATTTGTTTGACTTGAATGTACATCACAATATAAAAGAAAATATCTTTGGCTACTTCCGTTTCATTGCAACTCTAAGTGAATTTTCATTAAATCTTTATTTTATTAAGTAAATCCATTCGAAGATATAATCCCTGACATGTAATCTAAGGTAAATTATTGGTCTCTATGGGGAATGATGCAATGGAATGCTGTGTTGACCAATCAGCATCCAGAAACAGAACATTCAAATTTATAAATAAGAAAAGTCTCATTAAAAAGAGTTGTTAGCAGCAAAGTTATTCACAAATCAGCACAACCTTGAGTGTGTCACGATGATGAAGACTTAATGAAAAATGATAAATGAGGTTTAATAAGTAAGCAGGTAATCAGGCGTAACAGTATGTCCAACACAAACAACTACCCAAAACTGAAAGATCAAACAGAGCAAAATAAATACACAGTGATAATGAGATGATAATGAACAGGTGATGATTAAATGAGTGTCCATGACAACTGATGACTGGTGGGAAACTAAGACAAATAAACAAGCTAAAAGTCCATGAAAACTGAAACTTACACATGACAGAGTGCCTTATTGCTTTTATAAAATTGTTAGGCTACTACATTAGAAATTATTAAAGACAAATCTTCCATTAAATATGTTAATTTAAGACACACAAATTCAGTGGCATCTTTCCGCTAGAATTAATATCCCTGAAATAAAAATGCAACAAAAATATCAATCAGCTAGCCAATATGTTTTTCTGTGATAATTGCTACTGAAGTCCTTTTCTAGGAAAGGAGCAAGAACTCCAAACAGCTATTTCGAGCAGCTTTTTTTTTTTAACATGGAGCCCTGCACATTATTTGTTCAATCGTTTTAGTTCAGTCATGGCCACATTGTGCTAATTTGTTCCCTTGTTTTAGTTAGAAAGTGGCCACAATTTAACAAAAAAAAATTGAATGAATTGCGTTGGCAACAGTTTACTTAAAATGAACAAATTAATTTTTACACAAATTAATAAATCGTGGGAACTCATTATTCATTCATTGCTATACGATAACTCCAACCCCTTGAAATGCTGTATTGACTAATCACAAGCCACGACTGGTTTAATAATGCTATTCTGGAATATTGAATCCTTTGGAATAAAGATGCTGATTTCAAGGACCGATTATATTCATCCATTTAGGTATTTTCTCATTACTTAAATAAACTCTCATTTATGTCTATGTCTGACCTAAAACATGGTTTTGCTGAGAGACCTAAAGGTAGCAGCTATTTTTTAGAAGATTTAAAGCGATGGAAAAGATGATTACATCTTAACTTTACATCTTAACATCTACATTTAACAAGAGAAAATTTACACAGAAAGCCAAATTTGTACACACTAACTTGCAGCCACAAACATGTTTGTTTCTTCTTCTTAAAGACCGTTCATTCATGCTCAGTCTGAATCCAGCTTATCTCCCCCTTGTGATTAATAGCAAGGCCCTTTATGATGTTTCTCCTTTCTTTGTCGAATAATCTTCTCTATGAGTTGCAATCCCAGTGTAGAAAAGCAGATTTGAATGAATAGACGCCACTGTGTTGAGGATTAGGCAGCAGAGACGGTGGCAAGTGCCAAGTGGACACTGAAGCAGTTACTTATAAGGATCTCTAAATGGTGCGCTTGTGTGTGTGTTTGTGCATATGGCTGGGTGCGGATGGTATGCTTCCTGTTTGTGCGTGAATGTTTGCATCCATTTACGAATCAACAATTTCACGTTAACTGTGCAATCTGGGAACACACTGCGATCAGTCTAAAGGGATAGTTCACCCAAAACTGAAAATTCTCATGATTTAATCACTCTCAGAACACGGAACAAATATTTTGACTATTTAGTGAAAGTCAACGGTGTCCAAAACAACACTGGACCCCACTGACTTTTATTGCATGGGCCAAAAATGAACCCACCTTATTTTGCTGCGAGGACTGGAGCCTGTTGTGTTATTCTTAAACTGACCCCAGAGTTTCCACGCTCTCCCACCTGCAACTTCACTGGGTTTGGTCCAGAGACAGGTGGCCAGTGGGAGAGAGAGCCAGGCACCCAAGCATAGAGAAGCAGGCCATCAGATACTCATGCATTCAGTGAGTACATACAGGCCTAGCATCTACTGCACGTGTGCCCACAAACCTGCTGCTCCTTATGCCACATCTGAGATATCGCTAGATGAGCCTGTCTCAGCTGATGTTACACTCCATTGCAAGCACACAACACGCCAAAAGCATACAAACAGTCACTGTCAGTGCATAACCTGTTATGACGAACTATGGATCTAATACAGTGTATGAAATGTCTCCAAAATCGTTCGGTTTAATTGCAATCAAGCCAAATTGTCCTACTTCAGGTGATTCATGTACAGTATTAATGGGATCTGAATCATCGCGGGGGCTTATAAATGCTTTATTCTTCTTGTCGTATATAAGACATTGGAGGCAGACATTCTGTAAAGCTTGCAGGCCAGCCTTGCCAAATCAATCTGATGAAGAAATTAAGTGGATTGCACTCCATAACTAATGTTCAAATCCTTTTAACGGAGCGAGAGCGGGTCAAGCATTTGTTTTATTTCATTGATTGCATTGAAGGCATAATATTACACGTAATGCTCAGTCTAAACATATGCCCAGCATGTCCATTAAGTTAATTTTTCTGCATGGTGCTGTAACAAATATTGAGAGTGACATGCACCCCACAATATTTATATTAGTGGTTAACCTATATTATTTTTGCTGGTTTATTTATAATAATAATTTATTACATTTGGTCCTGCCAATCCTGAATATATGGTGACATTCTTGCATAATGATTGTAACGAATAATTTGCTCAAATTTAACCAACTTGTATTATTATTATTATTAATTGCTTTGGTGGCATCATTAAAATAAAAATAAAAAACCTCTAAACACTTCTTAGATCACTTGATGCTTAAATGCTTCACTATCTCTATGAATCTCACTTGCTTAAGGTGCATCGCAGTGTCAGCATTTTTTTTTTAAATCAGTGTTTTTTGTAATTAATGTATTAATAATTTAATTGTGATTGATTAATTTATTATTTATTAATGAGCATTAGCCTATTTGGGCATTGACTTTCAAGGAGCAGTTTCCATAGCATCTTGTCAATTATGTCCAGTATAAAAAAATAATATTTATAGGCCTAGACAATAATAAATATATAAACTATCACGTAACAGATTAACAAATTAAGAATGTACTTCAGGGACATTTTTTCCCAAATATTTTAAATAATTGCACACATTTGTCAATTTCCATGGCATTCCTGCCTTGAGCCCTGGTTAATATCTGACCCTGATGTGTAGTGATTGAGTCTAGTAGTCGGGAATGCAGCTCTCCTCGGATCTTAGCGAGTGACGCATTGCGGGTACAAATGGACCAATCAGAAGCCGCCTCTCCTTGCCATAACGTCTAGTACTGCGATTGACGCATCACACTTTAGCAGAATGTATGACTCCGCCGGTTAGCTAGTTCCACTCAAAACAAGCCCGCCCTCGCTGCAAAGCATAAATATTCGCGATTTGAAGACGTCGCTATCGTATAAAATCCACGGTACTCTTTACTGTTCGCTTACGCATCACAATTGTGACATTTTTGACGATCGTTTCTGATAGGGAAGGAAGTGTGTTGGCGGATGGAGATAAAGCAGGGGGAGGGGTTTATAAGCGACCATTAAAGGCGCGTCAAGCACTGTATGATTGCATCCTGTTTGTTTGCCAGCTGCGGACTGTTGTTCTGTGTGGAAATACATCTGTTAAAATATCGCGATGGTGAGTAAAAACTGTTGTGTTAACGTGACTGTTTATTTGGTGCAAAATGTAGTTATTATAGACTAACATATAAAATAATGCGCGTTACAGTCAGTATACAGTTCGTTGGTATTGAATAGTTATGCATAACGTTATATTATTTTTCATTGAATGTATGGGACTCGGGAGTGTTATGGTTTAATGACTGGTAGTCTTCTTTTTGTGTTTTATATATGCGTATTCATTTAATTCCATAGGTGAATATCAGTTAAATATTCGATTCTCTTGCTGTAACTTAACGTTACATGAAATAATTTCAAAAGCTTCATTGATAGCCAATACAGTTAAGGGGCACGTCAGCTGCAAGTATGGCGCATTTCTCTTGCACACGCTTATGTTTCAATATGTGCTCATTATCAAACACGCGTATGGAAAGCATTGGACGTCTGTTGTTCTTTAATTCAATGTTCTCCTCATGAATAAAGCAGTACAAAGACTTTTATGAGCGGTGGAGAAGTGACTGCGCCACCTTCTACAGTTAGCATTAAAGGGAAAGTTCACCCCAAAATGAAAATGGTCATTTATTCTTCATGTTTTTACAAACCCATACAACTGGTTGACTTTCTTCTTTAGGGCACAAAAGGGGATGTTAGGTAAGTTACTGACAGACTCAGTCGACGTTTAACGTTACTTTAGTTCCATCTGTTTCCCCCCATAACGAAAGCGAATGGAGACTGAGGCTGTCATTCTGTCCAACATGACATTTTGGGGTGAATTGTTCCTTTAAATAGAAGTGAATCAGATCCTTTATGATGCTTAGGTTTTAAACCCATTGACATGTCACCACCAATATTTAATTTAATGGTTGACCAATATGGGTTTAATGGTTGGTTTCTAAATGATTAGATTTGTTTCCACCAGTACTTCATATACATCATTGTTCTCAATGTACGTCTTCTCTTTTTCTCTGCAGGCCGACCAGTTGACAGAAGAACAGATTGCCGGTAAGACATTCCCACCTTCCTTCTATTGGCACATGGTCAGTGGTGTGGATTCCCGTGGTTCCCCCCTCTCCCCCCACCCTCTCTCTCCGTGGATTTATATTATTTCCTTTTATGGCAAGCCCTGAGACTGGGTCGGGACACATTCCTCAAATTAATGGACAGGTTGTTGTGGTGGGAAGCGTTTAACGGCAGGCTTTAAAACTAAGTGACTGAGTAATTTCCTGGGGCTAGATGTAGTGTTCGATGAACACACCCTTCTCTGTTGGAGAGCGTTAGTAACTGCAGGCACTGAGGAACAAGGGTGTGTCCCCTGCTCAATATCAATGGCTTTGACATGAAGTTACAATTTTATTGGCTGCTGGTTCGCCTTGAGTCATTTCTGACCTGATATTTCAGATTCTAGCTCATGATGGACTTATATGCGTTACTTTATTGGGACGTGATGTTCTTGATGTCTTTATAATATGTTTCCTTGGTGTTTTGGATCCTTAGGGTAATTTCAATGGTTTATATAGTGTTTATAGGAGTGCACTTATCTCTTTGTCTCTAATGTAATCGCATACATGTGCTAGAATTGTGTTGTGACAACAGAATATTTGTTTCATTTTAGGTGATCTGAGATTCATATTTCTGGTATCGCGTGCAAAGACCACACTGCAAGATTAATGTTATTTTGGAAGAAAAGTAATATGAAAACCTCACACTTTCAGGATTTTTGACTAATGTTTCTGATCATGCTTGTGCTATTACAGTAAATAACCTCAAACAGAAATGCTCTGATACCATTTAGGTCATTGTGGTCTGTCTCCATAGCGACAGTGAGGTCATGGTGGTTTATCCATCAAGACATAGTCTCCAAAGTGTGTTTCCCTGGAGATTGTGTGAGGTCACAGCAGTGTTTCCATACTGCTCTGAAATCTAGATCCTATATCCGCTCAATGGGGTCACAGCACTGGATCTCCATATGGTTCAGTGGGTCTCCATAGGAACAGAGTGAGGTCACAGTGCTGGATCTCCATAGAAACGGTGCCTCGGAGTTGATAGTTTGCATAGAAGCAGGGTAAGGTTTCATTTATGCGAGGACAGGCAGTTGTAGCAGCCAGTGGTATTTTTACATAAACAGATGTCACATTTTCTTTTTAGATCTAGGACTTTTTCCATTGTAGTTGTTCAAGCCTGTTCTAGTTTGAGTGTCACATGTTTTTCCTGTGTGGCTTGCGTAATAAACTGGTAATTACAGACTGCGGATTTTTTCCCACTATACAGTGACTCTTTGCAGTGTTCATTATGAGTAAGGACAAACTGCTTTTTGAAGACTGCCTAACTGTCGTGCTCTTGTGGTCTCGGACCCTGCAGCAGCGAGAGGAAATATATACGCCAGGACATGTTGCTAATTGGTAATTGGTTGGACTGTAAAGTAGGTGTTACTTTTCGGAATGAAGCCTGGTGGTTGAAAAAGAGAGGATTCATTACGGCAGCCAAAAAGCAGAGTAGCTTCATAGCTATTGCATTTTAATAAAAGATTATGTTTTTTTTGTTCTTTTAGAAAAACAGGCACCGATTATTCATTCATTAAGACCTGGAAACACGTGTTAAAATAAATGGGGTCAATCTTAGTTTACTTTAAAAGCTCTTTGGTTGAGCTCAAGCTTCTTTTGCACTAATGTCTTAAAGAGCTTGTTTTTGAAAGTGAGTGTGTAAAGTGTATTTGAAGGGAAGCCTTCTTTGGAACTGCCCCCTCTGGTTCCTCTGTGTGTCTTTTGTGTTCAGTGTTTGTTTATCTTTGGGAGACTCTGTTTATACAAGATCCTATTCCATTTATTTGTCACCCTTCACAGAATTCAAAGAGGCTTTCTCACTCTTTGACAAGGACGGCGATGGCACCATCACAACCAAAGAGCTGGGCACTGTCATGCGCTCACTCGGACAGAACCCGACAGAGGCCGAGCTGCAAGACATGATTAATGAAGTGGACGCTGATGGTAAGGACGACCACGTGCATCCTCAACCCAAGTGAATGGTAACATTTGGGCTTTGTCTGAATTCTTTCGCTTTCTGCATAGGAAATGGGACGATAGACTTCCCCGAGTTCCTGACCATGATGGCGAGGAAAATGAAGGACACCGACAGCGAAGAGGAAATCAGAGAAGCATTCCGTGTCTTTGATAAGGTAAAGCTTGTTTAGTTCCAGAATAAGACACAAAATAGTGCCACCCAAAGTCAGGTGCAGTCAATGACCTGGATATCTTGTGCTTCAGGATGGCAATGGTTACATCAGCGCAGCTGAATTGCGTCACGTCATGACAAACCTTGGAGAGAAGTTGACCGACGAGGAGGTTGATGAGATGATCCGAGAAGCAGACATTGACGGAGACGGACAGGTTAACTACGAAGGTGAGTTGACTGAAAAGTTGTTTTGGAACTCATTGTTTGTTAGATCGTGTCCTCAATAAAACGCACAACCATCAGAACATGGTTTGTTTAATATACTGTTATGTGGAGTGGGATTTTTGGATCACTAAGATTCCAGCATATCACAGAAACCAAGCAACCAACAAAATGCCACTCGGCGCAGTCGTGGCTGGTTAGGATATGGTGTCAGGGTGCATCTTGAGTTCATGTAAGAAATCGTGTCATCGTTCAGAAATGGACTAACCCGTTCTATGTCTCCACAGAATTTGTACAGATGATGACGGCGAAATGAAGGCCTTGTACAGATCCTCTCTCTTCTATAAATAATTTGCCTTTTTTCTGTTTAATTTATCTGTAAAATGTTAAGTCCCCTCCCCTTCCTCCTCCCGGCTGTCCAAAGGAACTGCATGTAAACTGCATAGGATCTTCAGTCCTCATGTCCCTTTCTTTTGCTGTCATCGTGTTTTTGGAGTGGCGGTGCGGTTACACGGTCAGGTGCTTGTTGCCGTGAAGAGGGGGTTGTGACGTGCAAAAACGTACACGTCACGTCTGTCTGCCCCCCTCATGCGTAGCAAGAGTGGAGACCTGCCAGCTGGTTGTCTTCTGGCAGCGACGCTGGCACGGCAACAATGTAGAGGAGTAACTCTGCATGGACTATGGACAAAGTATATTATATATAATATATATATATATATATATAATATAATGAAATTTCTCAGCATTGCACTACTGCAAAAAAAAAAAGAAAAAGACACGGGTGTATCTACAAGATACTCGTACATAAACTCTTTTTGTATCTGCTGTTCTATACTAAGAACTTGTTTGAATCTTACAGTGCTTTTTAATGTTTTAATCACTTATTCAACTAATTTTTTTTCTTTCTTTTACCTTTTTTTTTTTTTTTTTTTTTTTTTTTTTTTTTAAGCCGCTTAATGGCATTGTCATGCCTCAGATAGTCCATTCCAAGTTGTATATTTGTTTTCCAATAAAATTTGACTATTTACCCATAATGAAAAGTTTCTTTGTTTGCGAAGCATCATTTAGCCCTCTGATTAAAAGCCCCTCTGTTAATCATGCATCCCAGAGCTGGTTTTTGTAAGTTCGAAATTGCTAACTATTTTACTTAACCGAGTTGTTTACTCTATTTATTGTAATAGTTCAGATTATTCATTTGTACATCATTATACGATGCGTCTCTGAGTCAGCTGGACAAAGTGCTATGTGTTCACAGGATTGGATTGGGGTGAGGCCTCTGTCAAAAAAAAAAAAGCTCATTAAAGTAATCTTGAATGACAATTGTTGTAAACGTCATCCTTTTCCTTGTGAGAATACATCTGTTCTGTTCAGAAGTTTGGCTATTTATTGAAGACTAGTTGGTTTTTAATGCATGTTTGGATTATTTATGCTGTACAAAGATGTAGTATTAGTTATAATATAGTTAATACACAGCTATAAAGTATCATTCACGCACCTCTCCACGTTAGGTGAGCTTTTCAGGCAATCCAGAACAAAAGTATGAGTTTTTTTTTTTTTTTTCAAGAGCTTATTACAATGACAGCAGTACACTGAAGCATGGCTTGGTTATTCATGGTATGTGAGTGTTGAAGTGCACTGGTACAGGAGATGGCTCTGACAAACAACACTGGGCCCTTCAGTTGCTTGTTAGAAGCATGTGTTCCTGGTCGCCTAGAAACAGCAGAACATTCTGCCATAAACTCCCAGAGAGAGGCTTTCACTGCTTCTGCTGTGCTATTCATCTGTGTCAAACACTTACAAATGGATGTGTCATATGCCTCTTACATACAACAAATTATTATATGAAAAATGAAACTCACTTTATGTTGTCGCAATCCCTTTTAAAGCTTGGGAGATTTATTTTAGAACTTTAAATTGAAGTTTAATTTAATACAAAAATTAGAACAGACATGTATACAGTACTACAATAATTGTGGATAGCAGCTCAGATAACTTGTGTCTTGAGGTCACATTGTACATTTATATTTTTGATCAGAGAATTTGATGAGCAAACTCATTTTTTTCTCAATATGTAAAAAAATCAGTAAATGTAAATAATAAATACAAAAGCAAGCAAATAGCTGAAACTCATGTATCCAGTACTCTCGATTAATAGTTAAATAGTTTTAGTATCTAAGCGACGCCTCTTGTTGTTGAGGTGTTCGTTACAGAAAACAAACAGGAACGACAGAACTATGGCCATGGGAAGAGAGAAAACATTACCCAAAGGGAAATGTATAGATGGGGTAAGTTTTTACATTTGTGTGGTGGAAGGTTGGTGCATAAGAGTTACACAAGAACTGTTTCTTTATAGTGCAGGGATCTTCTGCGCCTATTTTTGACACAACCATTCAAAAGTTTGAGGGACGGTAAGATTTTTTTTTTTTTTTTTTTTTTTTATAAGTAAAGATATTTATTATGATATGAACATTTTTTTTTTTCAAATAAATGCATTCTTTTAATCTTTCTAGTTTTCAAAGAATCCTGTTTTTAATATTGATGATAATGATAAATGTTTCTTGAGCACAAAATCAGTATATTACAATGATTTCTGAAGGATCATGTGACACTGAAGACGAGTAATGATGATGAAAATTCAGCTTCGCCATCACAGGAATAATTACATAAAAATATATATATATTTTTAAAATTGTTATAATATTTTACGATATTACTGTTCTTTACTTTATTTTTTTATCAAATAAATCCAGCCTTGGGTGAACACAACAGAATCTCACCAACCCCAAATGGTGATCAGTGGTCTTTTTTTCTTCTTTTCAGAAACAGAAAGAAAAAGCCTATACTGACAGAAGTGGTTGGTGGAGAAACACTATTAAGGTAGGTGATATTTTACAAACGATCCAGTCATAGAAGTAAAAGTAACACGAATAGTTGTTCTGAAACAAATGTATGTCATGACAAACACAATATGAAGTGTACTTTTGGTGCACAAATAGCTTCTGTCTTATAAAACAAGGCCTGTTTCACACCGCACACGAAAGCAGCTTGTATTTATCTTGATGCTCATATTAACAGGTTACTGCTTTCACACTACCTACATAAGCAATGTGTAACCACAGCTTCAACTACAACCTATTTTTGTAATGAAAAAATATGCATTATGAAAATACACTTTAATCCTAGTCATCATTATGCTTTTAGTCCTACATCATATAAGCAGTTTTTTACACTTTGGGCTCCGTTCTATAATGATTAATAGCCATTCGGATGATTTCACAATGTTTAAGTGTGTTGTAATAAACAATGACTTCACTCAATAGCCATTTTATACTTTGGCTGTTACTAAAGGAGATACTCAGTGTAAGCCATGATGTAAGGTGTGAAACAGGCGTAAAAGAGCTCTTTCTACCATCAGAACTATCCCATTCCAGGCAGTTACCACATCCGAGACTTCATAGAGGAGACAGAACTCAACCCGGTGCCGAGGACGTACAGCTTCAAAGGCCCCGCGCGAAACACCCTCATGTGGACTGTGCGTCGAGGCGGGGATCTGCTATTGCCCGGGGCGTATAACTTTACTGACTCAACCAATGAGGCTCTGCGGCGCCAGGCAACTTACTCTTTCAAAAACTGCCCCAGACCTGACAACCACACTTTAGGCCTCAGGGATAAGGTCAGTTAATCACAATGATATATAGGCATACAAATGCAAGGTGCCTTGAGGTCAGTTCAACATTCTGTCTTACATTCCATATGATGGGGAGAGCGGGGCGCAGTCTAACACTTTTTGACTTTCTCAGTTTGTGTGAATCCACTTAGGGTTTAGAGAATTTATTTTTTCGAAACATTAATTTCACACGTCTAGGGGTTTTGTTTCATTAATACAGTGTATGCTTTTTTCTTGATTTACCCCGAAAGAATGGAAGTGAAATGTGACAACATGCCCCATAGGTGGGGCACATTGTCAACATGACCATATGACAGCTTAAAATGTTATCTGATCTAACCAAAAAAATATACAAACTAAAATATTTTGTCAATAAAATACAATTATTAACTTTTTCATATAAAATAATGGCATTTTTTAATAATTAAAAATAAAGTAATTTTTGAGTTTGACAACAAACACACTGCAAAACACAGCTATACAACATAGTTCAAAACATAATAATAATGAATCATTTCTGAACATTGACTCAGTCTTTATTCATCTTTTTTTCATGGTTTCTCAATAGAATTCATACAAGTATAAAATAGCATAGTTCTAATAGGGGCACATTGTAACGCAGTGTAACAACGTTCCCCATGCCCAACTGCGTTTTAAACCCCGCTAGTGTCTTCTGCTGGTTAGATCAGCATTAAATAATTATCTCAACTGTGAAATAACAGATATGAGATTAAAATAATTTCAGATTTGTCTAATTTTAAATAAGCACCAAAAAAAAGAAAAATTAACTTAGGTAAGATAAGAAATGTACTTTTGTTTAAAGTAATGTTCAGTGATATCTTCCACTGTTTTTTTGGGGGTTTTTTTTTTGGCAAAAATTAGTAGCCGTCATGCTAGCATGTGTGGAAAGTTTTAAACCATGTGTGTTACAACTAGCCCCACATTATTGTGCCCCGCTCACACCTACAAATCAGTTTAATGTAGCACGCCATATACGATGACATTATTTTTTTGGTGACTGATACTAAAGACAAAAGCAAACTATTTATCTGATATCAGTGGCTGGAGTTAAGCTTTCACCTTTGAGTTTATGAATGAGTATGTCAAAACAATAGTTTGATGTAGTTTTGTGTGTGTGCTTAACGCAGGATATTAATCTCTCTCCTGGTCATTATGATGTTACCGAGAAGCCTGTCCCCAAATCACCCTGCAAGTGAGTAGGCCTCACGCTCGGCACACTTTCACACACTGCAAGTCAGAGAACGTCACACACTGCAGCTCGGCGATGTTCTTCCATCTCATTCTCAGTGTCTTCCTTTACCTCAGGCAGTTCACAGAACAGCTCTCAGATGCTTTAATACTGGCCTCAACAATAAGGATGGTCCAAAGACCAGGGTCAGTGTCAGAGAGTTTGTGACTTTCCCTTGCCTTTACTGGGTACTTGTTGCTGAAATACATGTGTTTTAAAACAGACTTAACATTTGGCTTTCTGTCATGTACTGTACTTAACTGAACACTGTTCTTGCAAATTCTGCTGATTTAAAACCTAATCAATGTGAATTTATCAGGTTGGTTGATATAGATGAAGTTGTTGAACTCGTGACAATGAATCTTGAGATTGAAGCATCAATTAGAAGGGGTTTAAAATTGTAACCACAGTCATTGTCTTCCAGTAAAAGTTTAAGTCAAGTCAAGTCAAGTCATCTTCATTTATATAGCGCTTTTAACAATGGAGATTGTTTCAAAGCAGCTTTACAGAGATAAACATACAATTTACGGTAACAGAGATTGTTTTGGCTTTATAGCGATTTTGAATAATGTTATTTCCGGCTAAAGTTGGTTTTGATTGATTCACTTCCAGCAAAATTATCATTTGTTATTACATTAGGGGCCACTAAGACGACGGCGTTCTCTCTAAACAGACTTTAAACGCGAACCTGTTTAGCCGGTACCGACAAGCCATTACTCAGAATGATATCTGCCGCTGCCGATAGTTTGATTTTCTTAAAAACAAAAACAAAAATCTCTCCCAAATAATGCTGCAAACTATACAGGGAACCCTCTCATTTGGTACATTACTAAAATATAAGAGGTTAAATGAACAACAGAACTATTATATTCAACTCTAATTCAAATAAAAACTGAAATGTTAACATTATAGTTTTCATTATATACTTGTCTTCATGACCAATTTATTCAAGTATACCCACTCTTCAGTTTTACATATTTTTATTATACTTTTATATATTTTATTATACTTTTTTTATAACTAAACTTACAAAATATGAACATTGGATAACTTTCCTGAGGTAAATGCAACGTTAAGAGGCACATTGTTCACAAGCTGTTTTATTGATGTCTTTCCACGGCTGATGTAGCACCTAACTCTGGTTATAAGCCTAAACTTGACATAAACTGTAAACTTGTCCCTCAAATCTGTTTGGTTGATTGGAATGTTGTTCCAGGATCAACAAAGATATTGATCAAGGAATATGTTGCACTTGGTGGAATCAGGTTCTGCTGAAAACCCTGGCTTGAATTAAGGGTGATTCATAGGATCAAATTGAGCCTGCTTTAACTTTGCTATTTTTTTAACTGTTGATGCGTTCTTGTTGCGTTAACTTGCCCTAAATTCAACACATGACAGATTTTCTTCATAAGCAGTATGGGTTGCAGTCTGAACAAGTTTTTTCCGCCCACTTTTGATTGACAGGAAATAATTGGCCCTGATCAGCGGCTCTTGTTAAACAATCGGCCAATGGCTTTTATCGGCCGATACCGATTATTGGCCAATACATTGGTGCATCTCTAGTTAGGTATCTTATTTTTATCTCAACATCACACTGCACCAAGTACTTATACCCCCGGTTTCACAGACTAGTCCCAGACTAAAATGTATGTATGAGCTGTTTTAACTGAAAGCAACTTGCACTGAGATATCTCCAAATATGTCAGTGCCACTGTTTTGTCTCAAGATGCACACCAGTAATGTTTTTAAAGGCATAAAAGCTATTTAAATGTCCTTATTGAACTAAGGACTAATCCTTAGCCTTGTCTGTGAAACCAGGCCATACACTTATACACAAGACTAAAGATAACCATTACAATGCAGTCTTGTTTAAAGGTTTTAGATTAATTCTAGAACAGTGCTTCTAGAACAAAACAAGCTGTAAATTAAGCTAAAACAAATGAAAATCAAGATATTTCTTATTGTAATTCAGCCCAACCGTGGGTTTTGTCTTTGAAGTAGCAGTATTCACAGACTTGAAAAATCTTCACGAGGAAGCCTAATTTCAAAATTGTGATTTATAGACCTGGAAATTTCATGTAAATTAATAAAATCTTACAACTCATTGTGTCACGATTCCCGGTTTCTCTGTTTCATGGGCTCTTATTTTGATATTCTTTTGTCTTGTTGTGCGTAGGTATGTTCAGTTACTGTGTATTTAGTTCCTGTTTCCCTTGTCTCAATTGCTGTCTTGTTAGGGGCTGTTTACACGACACCCTTGTCAACTAAAACCGTAAAATGTGTTTTGACCTGTCATTTGCACGAAAACGGCGTTTTGTGTGCCTGAAAACGCAAACTTTTGAAAACGGGTTTCAAAGTGCAAGTTTTTGAAAACGGTCTCCGTGTAAACAACAAAAATGCAAATCTCTGAAAACGATGATGCCATGCACATGCGTATTACGTGTTCAGTCTATAGTGTTTCATCTCCATCTAATGGCCTGGCAGCAGAATACAGGGTTTTTAGTAGTTTTTGTGGATCCGTGTAAATCGGAATCGTTTTGACAATAGTGTTGTCTGTACACGGAAAACTCAAAGAAAAGCGTCTCTGTTTTAAGCGTATCGTTGTTGTGTAAACTTACCCTTAGTTTTCCAATGCAACCCTTGTTTGTTACCATAACAACTAATCACCTACACCTGTCCTTCATTTTGTGTAAATAAATCCTCAGTTATTTCTGTTCTTTGTCTACATTCGCTTTGACGCGTCCAGTTTAAACCCTCTGTACAGACTTCAGAAGTATATCAGAGTCGGAAATAAGTGGATGGTTTATTTTAATTAGTGATGAGAAACCATGGCTTTCTGAAGCATTTGAGGCTTTCATCAAATTGTGCTGAAAAAAGGTTATTTTAACACAATGCGCATTAGTGATTAATGCACAAATCACCGCAGAGCAGAAAAAGCATGTGACCAAACAAAACTTCGGAAGTCCGTGACATACAAGTGTGGGATCAATACAGTTCTATCTAATCTCATCTAAATTAATTTGTGCCAATTAGACCACAACTCGTGTCATGTGTAGCCTGGTCAACAGATTCTACTGTAGTTGAGGTCAAGAAAAATATTTATGACACAGTTATAATGGCCTACATGACAGTTTAATGTAATGTTAACCCATAAAGCTAAGTGGTTTCTTTGTTTGATAATTAATCTGCTATGTCGTGTTTATGACAATTTATGTTGTCTTGGTAATGTCAAGTTGTCATTTCCAAGACCCTGACAGGTTATGATGTATTGGTTTATGTCAAGTTGTCAAGACATCTCAAACAATGTCATATTTGCATTCAAAATGTCATAATTGAGCGAATGACACTTAATGTAATGACAGTTGTCATAAACATGCATAAAACCTCCTTCATATTCATGACATGTGTCATGTGATGATTATGAAGGTGTCATGTCAGTCTTATGCCCACCCCTTCAAGTAAAGTGTTACCAAAAATCATTAGTTATTAACTTAGGGGCCGCTAACATGACACTGTTCTAACAGAAAACACTCAATGTGCTTCGGCCCGCTCATCTGCACAAAATAGTGCCTGGTGGCTCGTGAACGCAAACCCTGAAATAGATTCCAAGGTGCAAGCCTTGAATAATAATAATAAAAAAAGGTTATCTCTGTGCAAACCTCAAAAACGCAAACCCGTGAAAACGTTGACGCGTGCACATGTGCATCACATGTTTAGTCTATAGGTATACGTGAATACATACGTGCGCAGGCGTGTAGTCCTTCTTTACAAACCAACCCTCAACAAACTACTTGTCTGGCCTTAAAAATGTATAATAAAGAATTATTTATCGCTTCCTCGTAGCCACGTGAACCGGAATTATCCCTACAACGTTTGATCTGTACAGAGGTGAAGGGAAGGGAAGGAGACCTTCACAGGGGAGAGACTAGTTGACACTTCAGGACTGCATTATCGTCGTGTCCAGGCGCAGGTCCTTCATCAGATCTGGATACGGCCTGGATCCGGCGGAGTGCGGTAAACCTCGGGATAAACAGAGAGACTAATATTAGCATAGACGCCATCCTTCTTATGATGTAACAAGTACATCAGGATTAAGTGTTCCCGGTTCCGGCTGACCTTAATCTATACAGCCTAACATTGAATTATAGAAGTCTATAATGTGTTATGTGTATGCTTGGTCAAAGAGATGTGTTTTTAGTCTAGATTTGAACTGACAGACTGTGTCTGCTTCTCGGACAATGTTAGGAAGACCAAAGTTTTGGTGCTAAACAGGAAAAGGATCTACTGCAAGCAGTCGATTTTGATATTCTAGGTATTATCAACTGGGCGGAATTTTGAGATCGCAATAGACGTGAAGGACTATAGGGAGCCAATGCAGTGTTGACAGAACCGGGCTAATATGGTCATACTTCCTGGTTCTGGTAAGAACTCTAGCTGCTGCGTTTTGGACCAGCTGTAGTTTGTTGATTAAGTGTGCAGGGCAACCACGCATAACAGCATTACAATAATCTTGCCTTGATGTCATGAACGCAAGAACTAATTGTTCCATGTTTGTCATTGAGAGCATATGACGTAATTTAGATATATTTATAAGATGGAAAAATGCGGTTTTACAGATACTACAAACGTGACTTTCAAATGAAAGTTTGGTATCAAAGAGCACACCCAGGTTCCTAACCGACGACGAAGACTTGACAGAGGAGCCATCAAGTGTTAGACAGTATTCTAGGTTACTACGTGAGGAAGTTTTTTGTCCAATAATTAGAATCTCTGTTTTTTCAGAATTAAGAAGTAGGAAATTACTAGTCATCCAGTTTTTTATATCAGCTATGCATTCCGTTAATTTTTGTGAATTGGTAAGTTTCGTAAGGGTGTGAAAAAATGTAGAGCTAAGTATCATCAGCATAACAGTGAAAACGTCTCGGTTACGGATGTAACCCTCGTTTCCTGAGTAGGGAACGGAG